GTTCTAAAATTGTTTGAGCTGGAAGACAGAACAGAAATAGTTATCAAGAATCAAAATACGTTTTCGAAGCCTAGACTGAAACTATAAATGTCACACCAAAATATAGCTTGTTGGTTTTGGAATAGTGCTCGAATTTTTTTTCCGAAAAATGAATTTTTTGACCGTGCCTTGTATGAGCCCTGATTTACTATTTTTTATGTGATCATAGCTCGACAATACATTTTCTAGCTTATTTTGTCTTATTTATACTAAAAAAAACAGTTTTTTTCTTTGTCAATCCTACCCCGATACGACGTTTTGGCGAACTTTGTCGGCTTATACCTCAGAAACTAAAGATACAAAACTTTTCGAACTCATGCACATATTTTTTTAATGAGCCATCCCACAACAACATAGTAAAATTTCAGCCAATTCAACCGAGAGCCAATTTCACGTGTTTTCGTGCGGGGTCCTTTAAACGTGATCCGTGGTCAAGTGGTAATAACTCTTGCACAAACTGTATATGAAATGGATGAATTAATTCGTCTCTGCAGATCCGATTCACAGTGTTTGTTGGAATTCCTGTTTGTCGCTGCACAGATCTGGTACTTATCTCGGGATTGTCATTGATTATTTCAAGAACAGCTTCTTCCGTATTAGGTCTTTGGACTCGGAGTCATCCAGCGGTAATTCTGACTGGTTTCAACATCCCTGTTCGGATAGTTTTCCGCGGTCAGAAATTTGAAAACTAAGAGTTCGGGTTGATCCGCATGTTCAGGTTGTTAAACCGCGTCTTAGAATCTGTAGATTTTCGACGTTTAGTATATATATATATAGGCCCGCCCCTCACGAAGTGAATTTTCAACCATAAAATAAGCGAAGATTGAAATACTTAAATAAAAAACGAGAAACAGGTAAGGCAAAAAGGGACAAATGGAAAAATTCTAGAAATAATTTACTACTTATTAGGTTCTGACTGAAGTTCAGAAAAATTAACTCTTTTATAATATTGTTACGACCCTGGCGATCAATCCCAGCTACCTGCGACGGAAGTAAATAAACCATATTTCTTGGAATAGAAATCGACGGCTATTGAGATGACTCGAGAAGATTATCGACCTGTTCACGATATTTCGAGTGGAATCTAGACGTTTTATTAGGTAGTATAAATAGTTGTTGTTAGGGACAGGAAGAAAAGTCTTTATTTGGAAGCGTTATAATAACGATCGAAGAAGTGTTGTGAATCGGAAGTGTTTAGTACGAGTATTGTAATTATTGTATAGTTGTGTTCAGAATAAATTATTTTAAGTGTTATACCGTGTGTTAAGTTATTACGGACCCAGAGTAAAATCGTAACAGTGGTGCCAGAAGTGTGGATTTTCGAGGACATTTGAATACGTATGGTGAATACAAGGAGTACGTCATACGACACGATGGAAGACATTATAAAATTCATGAAAAATCAGTTCGCAGAACTAGAGACACGACGACAGGAAGATGAGAAACGTCGTCAAGAAGAGTTACAGAAAATTCTAGAACATCAAGAAAAAGAACGAGAACATCAAGAAAAAGAACGAAAACATCAGAAAATCTTCTTCGAACAAATTCTGCATAAAACTGATAAGCAATAAATGGATGAGTTAAAGACAGATGTCACCAGAATTGATGACAAGCTTAACCAGGAAGTTTCAAAAATAGATTCCATGCTCGATGCAATCGAAAGAAATGTAGCGAATCAGATCACCTCGCTACGAAGTCAAGATCGCCGTGACAGAGTTGCCACATCGGGTTCTTCCGTGAAACCACCAACTTTTGATGGACAGTCGCCTTGGTCTATGTATCGCCGACAATTTGAGGCTGCAGCAAGTGCAAATGGGTGGAGTGACGAGGAAAAAGCTACTGCACTCATAGTAGCTCTGAGAGGACCAGCTTTGGGGATGTTACAGTCGATCCCAGTTGAACAACAAAACCACTTCGGAGATTTGGTGGCTGCGCTAGAACTCAGGTATGGTGACCAACATCGAGAACAGCTTTACCGGGCTCAGATGAAAAATCGTGTGCAGAAGTCTGGAGAGAGCCTACAGGAGTTCGAAGCAGATGTGAGAAGACTGACTCAATTAGCCTACCCAGAGGCACCAGAGGACTTCAAAGAACAACTGGCGGTGCAGGTATTCATCGACGGGCTGAGAGACTCAGAAATACAGAAGACTCTGAGGCTTACACACTTTAAGAGGAGTGGTGAAGCCCTAGTAAAATCTCTGGAGGTAGAAGCGGCCTTCAACACCTCTAGGCCAAAAGTGAGAGCTGTGTCCATCGAGGAGCCTTCCGAAGACGTGGACCCAGTGGCGAAAATGTTGAGAAAAGTGCTTGAGGGACTCAAAGAAATTAAGAGTGGGTCTAGTAACCAGCGAAATAGATCCTGCTATCGCTGTGGCAGAACTGGACACCTGATAAGGGACTGTAAGGTGAGAGTACCACCACGAGGTCATCACGGTCGTACTCACCTGCGAGGACTAGGTCATCTAGTGAGTCCTCAGATAGATACCAGGAAAAACTAGAACTAGCCAGCGTATCGGGGCGCATGCTGGCTAGTAATAACGAAGCTCCCAGGGTCATTAACATCAGAAGGATAAGAAGAACAACTGATAGCCTGACCATCAAAGGAAAACTACACCAGAATGCAGATGCCATGTCCAGAAGACCTTGTTCGGAAACCTGTAAGCATTGTCTGCGCATTGAACATCGAGAAGGAACCGCTGATGTTAGAAAAACCAGACTTGTGACCGATGATAAGTGGACAGCAGCACACATGAGACGAGATCAGGAGAACGATCCGAATATCGCCGATTTTCTACGTTGGAAAGAAAGAGGAACAGAAAGACCGACATGGAAGGATATCTCGGATAGAGGGCCTGCTTTCAAGGCGATGTGGGCACAATGGGACTCACTAGTTGTGGAGAATGGATTATTGAAGCGAGTTTGGGAATCAGCTGATGGTAGATCAACAATTTCTCAGCTGGTTGTGCCCCACATCAGAGTTAATGAAGTTCTGGAAGAAGTCCATGGCGGAAAATCTGGTGGACATTTTGGAGTTAACAAGACACTGAGTAAAATTCGAGAAAGATTTTACTGGGTTCAATGTCGTGACGACGTGGAAAGTTGGTGTAGAAGATGTCCTGTATGTGAAGCCAGTAAAAGTCCCAGAACGAGATCAAGAGCTGGAATGAAACAATACAATGTGGGTGCTCCGTTTGAAAGGATCGCCATCGATGTAGCCGGACCATTCCCTTTGACCGATGATGGAAATAAATACATCTTGGTTGCTATGGACTACTTCAGTAAGTGGGTAGAAGCATACGGCATGCCAAATCAAGAAGCCTCCACAGTTGCCAGGATATTGGTAGACAACATGTTTTCACGGTTCGGGGTACCAATGGAGTTACATTCTGATCAAGGGAGAAATTTCGAGTCGAACTTATTCAAAAAGGTCTGTGATCTAATGGGAATCAGTAAGACCAGAACAACTCCCCTACATCCACAATCCGATGGCATGGTCGAAAGATTCAACCGAACTATGGAAGAACATCTTTCCAAAGTAGTCGAAGAGCATCAGAGGGACTGGGACAGGCATCTTCCCTTATTCCTGATGGCGTATAGAGCAGCTGTCCATGATTCAACGAAGCTAACTCCAGCTAGTATAGTCTTTGGAAGAGAACTCCGCTTACCTTGTGACTTGGTGTTCGGTTCACCAAGTGTTGAAGAAAAGGAAGTACAAGACTACGCAGATGAGCTCCGGAATGGCTTGATGAAAATTCATGAGACTGCTCGGAAGAGATTGAAATTAGCAAGTGACAAAATGAAGGCACGGTACGATCTCAAAGCCAATTCAGAGGGATTCTTCGAAGGAGATCGAGTTTGGCTGTATAATCCTCGACGGAAGAAAGGCGTATCACCCACATTAACACCATCTTGGGAAGGACAGTATACGGTGTTGAAAAGGATCAATGATGTGGTCTATAGAAACCAACGCAGCCCTAGGACAAAGATGAAAGTCGTTCATCTTGAAAGACTGAAGCCTTATCATGGTGAGGAAAGTTCTGTTTTTGATCGGGACGATCAAATTTGAAGAAGGGGGTAAATGTTACGACCCTGGCGATCAATCCCAGCTACCTGCGACGGAAGTAAATAAACCATATTTCTTGGAATAGAAATCGACGGCTATTGAGATGACTCGAGAAGATTATCGACCTGTTCACGATATTTCGAGTGGAATCTAGACGTTTTATTAGGTAGTATAAATAGTTGTTGTTAGGGACAGGAAGAAAAGTCTTTATTTGGAAGCGTTATAATAACGATCGAAGAAGTGTTGTGAATCGGAAGTGTTTAGTACGAGTATTGTAATTATTGTATAGTTGTGTTCAGAATAAATTATTTTAAGTGTTATACCGAGTGTTAAGTTATTACGGACCCAGAGTAAAATCGTAACAATATGAAAATATGTTTCCGGAAAACAGTTCGATAGCGTCATTACTTCAAAATATGCGAATTTTCCTCAAAATCTACTAATCAATCCCATTCAGAAACTCTTTTTCAGATTTTTGCTGTTGTTTTTTCTCTTCATCAAAATTAAGCTGAGACATTGAGTATCGCTCAAATTATGTGCATATTTATGATGTATTGTAGTTCAGTTTCCTTTAGATAGCCTGAAGAATGTACACATATTTTTGACGTAGAATTTATTATAACATACTACTTATATAACTGATGTTAAATAATGAAGATGTACAATATAATATTTTGATTCAAATATATTTGAAACCTCAAGACCTGCCAATTTGCTATACAGTTTCTAACATTTAGGAAGATCTGATGTCTGCAAAACAGTGCCAATGAATTTGCCTACAGAACTTGTTAAATAGCTAGTTTTCTAATGAATAATGCTATCAAATAGATCACTGATTGTTCACTACAACAGAAGACACCGAAATAAAATATGTGGGAATGCTACGAATAAAATACATATATACAGGTAATCCATCAAAAAGAATACTTAAACACTTAGAGAAGAACGATTGTTAGCCCAAAACTGATGTGCCGATACTGCGAGCGTAATCAGATATAAAAGAGCTGCAATCCAACAGTTGTAAGCATTCTGGAAAGAAAGAGAGATTATTAGTACAAATTTATATTCCAAAATGATTATTATCAATAGGTGTGGCCAGGTAGCCGCGCGGACGGAGCGTCAGTATTCTAATCCGCGTTCGCTTGCCGGTGGGTTGAATTGCCTGCGACTGCAGACATTTTTCTGGTGGCCAAAGAAAGTGTTTGGGATCAAAGGTAAGGCCCCCGTTATTCCTTGCTCGCTCAAGTCTATCGAAGACTTCTGATGGTTGCTCGTAAGGGGGCAACCAAATGACGGATAGAACCATTTTTAGATACCGTCATCTGAGTATATATGAAACGGCAAGGGTTATATGATACGTCAGGTACTATTTTTGTTAGCGCGTTGGTAATTTGAATTTCAAAATGTTGGTTAACCTGATTGTCAAAATGACTGTCAGATAAAGATTGATAAAGATTGTTATTGTTCCTCACAAAAATCAAAAAGTAAGTACTTCAAATCATTATTGAGATTTATTGCACTTGAAGCTTTTTCATTAACCTCAAATCGTCTCATCTGTATCTCAAAAACCCATCGTCATGCATACTCAGTTTATTGAGAACAATATTTGCACATAACCTCAACTAACCATCGTCAACATTTTCATAATTGGAATCATGAAACTGTGTCGGCAAAAACTGAAAAAACGAAAAAAATCTTGTGTTTTCAGGGATATACAGGGATCGGCATAAGTCAGGCAACGCTCTCGAAATTTCGACATATGTCCGGCAACGCTCATAAGTCTAGCAATGCTGTCGAAAAAGATCGACCCTGAGCATGTGGTGCGTCAGACAGTTGTGTCTGTGTGCTCGTCGAAAAGACACGATGGGCATCAATTTGAACACTTACAGTAACCCTTTTTCGAATACCTTTTGTATTTTTTTTAATAAATATATTTTGACGCTGCATTCATTTATCTTAATGCAAATTGGTTGCCTGATGCAAATTGGTTGCCTGATGCAAATTGGTTGCCTGATGCAAATTGGTTGCCTGATGCAAATTGGTTGCCTGACTTATGCCGACCCCTGTATTATGAAATGCCATGGAAACATATCCATTATTCAGGAACAGATTTACGCAGATTTTTTTTAGTTTTATGTTATTTCGATGATGAAAGCTGTGCCTAGGATCTCATTTCCGTTTTTTATTATTTTTTTAGTTTTACGTTATTTTTTACGCCCAGAATTTCAAAGTGGAACAATAAAATGACGTTTTGTATTCCCTTCAATTCTTTTTCTCTTTCAATTATTTGAATGCCGTACCCAAGGGTTATATGAAACGCCAAAAAAAATGGAAGGGTGCATCAAGAAATAACAGAAATCCATGGAGAATATACCCTTCTATATCCTTCAAATAACCACGAATATTTTGATTCGTTCCGATTTTCCAGAACGGAAATAATCATTAAAATTTTGAAAAATCGTTTCATATATACTCGGATGACGGTACTCGAAACAAAATATATAATTGTAACTTGAAACATTAAACAACATGATTGAACCTACAACCTACAGAAATATAATTCATTCACTATACAGGGGCCTATGAATGTGAATAGTAAAGTTAGAATAAGTAGGTACAGTCAAATTCAAAAAACATGTCGCGGTTGGATGGTGTTAGCGCTCTTACTGCAGAAGTGACTAGTAGTGCTGCCAACGCCCATGTGCGACATTTCATTTGCATCTGACTGTACACTATTGATAGGAAATAAAAATGAAACAGATTATACAATAAGTTATTGTATGGGGGATCCTAGGTTTAATTCATTGAGTTAACATATTATTAGCATCATTTTTGTCATGGTTTTTAATGGATAGAGTAAGTATTTGTTCCCTTACATTTATTGTTTTGAATGTTCATCTCTGTTGATACAATATAGTTATTGTATGGGGGATCCTAGGTTTAATTCATTGAGTTAAATATTATAAACATAATTTTTGTCATGGTTTTTAATGTATAGAGTAGGTATTTAGGTTCCCTTACATTTATTGTTTTGAATGTTAAACTCTGTTGAAACAAAATCAATCAAAATAAAACTCGGTTAGAATTTTACTATTGGCAATGTAAATCATTCCAAATTGATAGATTCGTCATAGCTCTAATAGGTATTATTTTTTCAAACCCTCCAACATGAACACTTCTGAATTGGGGTGCCTCTGATGATTTATATAATTTATTCAATTTATATAATTTTTCATTTGTTTCGAAATATATTTCTTAGTTCTCGAGTCTTTGAGCGAATAATATCATGTTCGCATAATTTAGTTTTTTGATTGTAAAGTGGTATTATCAATTAGTTCAATCCGAGGTTCAATCAACGAACGCTAAAAAATGTCCAATTGGAGAAATAAATCGTGGAGTAGCAAATTCCTGACCCGTAGGGGATGAGTGAGAGAGTCGGGGAGAGTTTAAATGTAATTTTTTTCAAGTTGATCTTGAATAATTAGAAAATCGCGACCTCTAGTGAAAAAGTGTAGATATACAAAATTGATTACGATTTCGATATAGGACATGTGTAAGTATGTAAGTTTCGCATCAGTTATTCAAACTTGAAATGCCAGTTTCAAGCTTTCTTAGATGAGAGTTCTTACACCGATAAAAAAACAGAAAATGAAGCAGTACTTTTCAAATTTGATTTCAATTAAAAACATCATATTGTAGGATATATAATGGAAAAAATTATAAAAATTATATGATATAAATGCCAGTTGACACCATGGGAATTTGTTACAGAGTCTGAGGAACCCAATGTGTTCCGTAACTACTTAACCACTTTTAATTGAGGAATGTTTTCCATTGAGAAGATTGAAAATAAAAAACCCTGGACAACAAAAGGAATGAAAATATCTGCCCAGAACTTGAGCTTCTCTACATACCATAACTAAGCATGTATGTAGATAGAGTTACTATCATCATATTTCAATTCTTACAAGCGTGTTTATGGACAAGTAATCAAAAATGCAAAAGAGATATACTACGAAGAGAATAAATAGTTCTCGAAACAAAACAAGAGAGAACTTGATAATAAACAAACTAAGAGGTGAAACCATTACCGCGAAATATTGATATCTATTCTGACACATTGATCAACTACTACTGCTTATAAACTTACATCTAGCTTGAATCCACAGGTTGATCCTTTAGACTATCTAATGCATGTCAGCACTGTAGATAGCTTTCAGTTTGGAGACAATAACAAAATTGAGCTTGAAGATGTTCTCAAGGAAATAACTAATGAAAGTTCAACAGGTGTAGATGGATTACTTCTCATTTTAGTGAATGCAATTAATATATCTTTCAGAATGGGAAAGTTTCCATCCTGCCTGAAACAAGCAGTTGTGATACCTCTTCATGAGGGCTGTGACTCAAACGAACCCGCAAAATATCGGCCAATTTCCCATTTGTCGATATTATCAAAAATTATAGAAACATTAGTCAAACGACGAATGATAAAACATCTTATAAATAATAATATAATAAACCATGGTCAATTTGGAGCGAAAAAACACAATACTGGAAAATACATAATTAGCTCTGAATGATGGAGAAGTTACTGTATTGAAAAAAGATGGCTCTGTATGCGTCGTGTTTAGACGCCCGTGGATTAAACAATGTTATGGAGTCCGAAAATGAACTGCCAAAGCCTATTGAGCAGACAATGATGGAACTCCCTGGAGTTGAATTCTTGACCTCATTGGATTTTACTCATTCGTATTGGTAGATTCCAATTAAGGCGGAACATAGAAAATATATACAATTCCGCTATGGTATTAGATGTCATCATTTTTGTTTTCACTTCAATTTCGAATTCTACTGATGCAATAACAACAGAATTAGCTTGTAGTATGTTCTAATGAGGATGGATCAGTCGTATTTGGCGCCGACTCTTCATATTGTATTATTTTTCTAACCTCTATAATTTTGTTCAGAGTTGCTATAATGGAGTCTTTGGCAGTATCAGTTTTTAAAATCATGACATGCTTTGTGTTGATTATTGTGTCCTTGTAGTTGGGATAAATTCCTGCCCAGAAGTCGGTGAAATTGATTCTGGTATATGATTCCTCAGTTGTAATATCGAAAATATGTAGATATTTCTTTTGTTGAATGTCCCTCATTATTCGAGAGTAGTTTATTGGGGGATTCCTTGAAGGCTGATTGGTTTTTTGTTGTAATTGTTCTTGTGTTGGATTTGGTGGGACAGGTTTTGTGCTAGTTTTTGTTGTGCCTGGTGAATCTCCAAGAATGATATTGTTGATTGGGCAAGCTCTTGGGCCCTTTTTCTTGTATGCTTGTTTTTCCCTTTTCCTCGAACTTCAGTCTAGTTTTCAGATTAATAATAATATAATAATAATATAAGTTTACACAATATACCGAGCAATATACATTGGAACATACAGATAGGTATTTTGAATGAACTGGGAGAAACCTTACAAAGTGAACCTTGTAGTAAGGATAAAAAACAAATGTACATAGGTCAATAAATATTTAACAATATTTAATTATCACAAGGGCAAAATCTTCTCATTAGGAAATGAGACATCATGTATATAATTCATATATAGTGTACTGAGCATTTCATTCAATTCAATTATTTATATTTATATATACTCATTCACAATTATTATTTAGATGTTTCTAATTATATTAATCAAGAGATAAAATCATTTTTAGGGGAGTCTAATATCCAATTTTGTATTTTTATCATTTGAAATTTCCATTTCATTATCACCATCACGTTCTGCTGACCTATTGGAGGTATATATAAATCGTCCTTGTTTTTTTATTTAAATATCTTGTGCAAAATAGTCTCAGGTGTGTACTCTTTGACTGCTGAACGCAAACTGGTATTACATTATTAACTGAAACATGCTTTGTTAATAAGGTTGATCTCGAGATTGATATCTTCGACAATAAAGTTCATTTTTTATTGATTGATTGATTGATTTGAAAGGATGTGGCAAACTCTCAGCTGGAAATGAAAAAACAAGTCT